TTCTTCTTCTTCTTCTATGCGACTCTTTTTTGACATTTGGTTCATTGTTTGTATTTTCTTGTTGATTATCATTTCCTATATCCCATGACTCTAATACATCGCTATCTGATTGGCTGCCTAGACCTGCGTGAGATGCTATTTTATATTGATGATGACTTTTACTTACTTGAATATCCAGGCAATGATGCAAATCCATAATCTGTTTCGTTACTAGGTAATGAAGAGGTAGAATTGGCTAAAGCATCTTGATGAATATGGTTTTCCACCTTGTCATTGGGACGAATGACTCTTCTTTTGTCAGAGTTTCTGGGACCCACTCTCTTTTGAACTGTGCCTTGATATATCGAATTATCTGATTGCCAAGTATCAACTTCCTTCCAATCACTATTTTCGTTATCTCCAAAACCTACATCAGATATTTTCATAGGTACTGTTGTGCTATCCAATAGGAAACCATATCGAGTTGCTATGGTTTGACCTGTAGTCGAGGATGGAGACTGTTCATAAAGTTCCCTTATAATAATTTTTACTTCTTCTGCTACAGCTGAATTGGGAACATTCATAAGGTTTTGTAGACAACCTGGTGCAGCAGTTCTTCCATAGAAGAATCCAGTGGTTAAACCTAATAGAGTGGCTGGTATTGCGGGACGAAGCCTCAAAGAGCTCGAAGCGTTGAAATGCTTTTGAAATTGTTTCAGCCCATAATAAATTAACGAAAAAGACCTAGTCAAGTTGAAAAATAGTTTCAGCCTTTGAAACAAAACTCAAAACCAAACTCACGTCAAAGCTGAAAATATACCTCTTCGAACAATACTATTATCACACTGTACCAAAGCTTTTCTTTCTTCAGGTGTTACTTGATACTGATTATCCAATACTCTTCTAAATAATTCTTGGAATACCGTTCGTTCCAACTCATACATGACAATTCTTACTACAGAATGTTTTTTTTATAATCAAAGAAGGAATCGAAATTTTTCACAAGAAATCAACTCTCTTTTCTCTATAAAGAGCAGTTTTGAGCACAACCAGCAAAGCACTTTTCCAAACAAACATTATTAATCAAGGCTGCAACATCTTGAATAGTACAATTGCTGCTGTTTGTGTTGTTGGTTGCTGGTTCAATACTAGGTTGGGGTGTCTTGGATGGCTTTGGTTTATCCATGGCTATGCAGTGTGTGGCATTGTTTCTTCCAGAAGGGCACGCATGTACGCAGTTTGCGTTACCATCATACAACTGATCGCTTATAAAGGTTCCTTTTGGACAGGAATCAAGACATTCTCTACCGTATATGACAGAGTTGGAAGGACAGGCGTCTAGACAAAGTTTTCCTGATCGATAAGTGTAATCGGGACAAGAAGAGCGACATATAGATTGATAGACATAAGGCCAATAAGAAGGGCACTGATCGACACAAGTTTGTATGAAGGGTTGACCACTAATAACAATGTATGGTCTTTTAGAAGAACATTTGGATGCACACTTTCCATCGTCGATTAATGGAGCTTCTGAAAAGTCGCAACTTGTTCTACATGCTCGATTATAAAGAACTGTATTATTGGGACAGCGATCGACACAGTCAAAACCGGAAAGTGCTAGTCTCTCCGGACATCTGCAGCGTTTTCAATTGGAAATGAAATGATGACTGCAAACAAGTATACTTACTCGGATACACAAGTTTGATTGTTCAAATTGTACGGTGCCTCCTGGTTTCATTTGATAAAGATTTGAACATAAGTACATATATGGAGGAAAGTGTCATTACTTACTGCTGGACAGAATTCCACACAGGTATTGTTATGTTGTTTTTTGCCTGTTGGACATTGGTCGACACATGTTTCACCATCGAGAAGTGGTTTCGATGGAGGACAGGTTTCGACACAGACTGGTGATTGATAGTTTAATGTTACGCGGAACTTCCCATGGCAATGATAGCGACAAACTTGGCCATCATATACCATATCTTGTGGACACTGTAAGGATAGATGAGATTTTTCAAAAGGTTGTCATCTTTCATGTTAAACTTACGCTACTTGTGCAGAAAGTACTGTTGAGGAGAAATTTGTTAGCTGGACAGCTATCTAAACAATTTTCTCCATCTTGTACTCGGTAACTTGGACATTGATGTCTACAGATGCGGCCATCACGCAAAGGTTTATCTTTAGGACAGCCGTAATGACATTCCTTGTTTTCCAAATCGAGCCCTAAGCATTCGTTTGATTTCTTAGTTTGTTTCATGTGTTGTCAAGACCATTTGCTTACATTGATACGAATTGCATTGTGCCACACAAAGTCTTCCATTCTTAAATGGCTTCCAAGATGGACAAGTCGAACGACAAATTTTGTAATCTTGGACGATGTCAACATATGGCTGTGATGTTGGGCAACTGGTAACACAGTTGCGATCCGCAGTAATATAGGAATCTGGTGGACCTATACAACGAAAGAATATATATTTGAAATTGAATAAGGAAGAGACTTTTTCTCACAAGCTTTAACGCATGTTTTTGCAGAAATAAACATGTCCTGGGAGCACTCATTTGTGCACTGAAGACTCTCTGTATCTAGAAAATAGTCAGAGGGACATTGTGGATTGGTTTCGTTGGGTAGGAGATTGCGTTTGGTTTCCAGGATATTTGTAGGAGGAGAAGAAGTAACTTTGTTGTCAGGTTGAATTTCTCCTGAGAGCTCTGCTGCAAGAAGGAATTCAACGAGCAATAAAATAGTGATTGTTGCCAGTGCACCTGAATATTTGTTCATGTTGCTGTTCCCTTGCAAATAATACTAGTGTATTTTTTTTATAGTATTGGGTTAAATGAAAAATAACTTGTTTCATTTTCTGGTAACATTTCACTTCATATAAAGAATAATTTGGCGCGCAGATCCCCAGCATTTTTCTTTTTGACAGCTCATTTTCGAATGAAGACACGTCTCCGTTCTGTTATCAGGTAAAAATGTTTCAGGAACATTTTCCAAAAGTCCATTGTTGTCAAGAGATTGCAAACGACGACTATGTAGCTTTATCATTCAATTCAATTGAGTTTTTTTTGTTTCAAACATTGGTGAAAGAGACCTGTTTTGATGAAAGAAGGTCAGAATTCGTTGCTTACAATGAGAGAGAAACTTTCTATCAAAGTAGGCTCAAGGGCCTCTAATTTAATGTATGACTAGTGTCGCTTGTATCTATGTCAATTCAGTTGAGTTTTTAGAATCTACTCTGCCCAGTGAAAGGAGTAAAATTATTATCTGGTCCCTAAATATAGTTCCTTTGTCTGGAAAACAGCTAAGACAAAGTTGCTCTAAGGCTCATGATACAAAAAGTTACCCTTGTTCTTGACAGATGGTCGACAAAGCGTAAAAGAAAATCCTCGTTCTTCGTCAAGAATCAGAAGCGTTTGTCCTACGTAGGAGGAGGGCAAATATCCAAGCTCAATCCCTGTTGAGGGGATGGAAACGGCGGCGGTGTTGGGGTACAGATGAGACTGAGATTTAAAGCCGTTCGCGTGGTTGGGACTCGTGATTCTTTGTTTTTAGCAACTCTGTCTGTCAGACAAATTGGTCAATCCAATTTTTGGTTTACTGGGTTTTTTACGGCAAATTGGTAGAATGCATAGAGAGCAGCTACTTTAAATACGCATCGATTTTCTCGTTGGGTACTTGTGTTAGATCTAGATGGAAGTTGTTGAGAGCACAGCAGCTATTTCTTCAGAAGTAGACGAACAAAAAAAGGAACCTCTATTCCGTGGAAGCCTAGACGGGCATGACCTTTCAGATGAAGTCCTTAATGATGAAATTGGGGAGACTAGAATTGCAGTTGAAAGAAACGAAAGTTTCTTTTTTCAATTCTATTACGTTAGGCAATCCTAAAGTATTTACTTGGGTACTGGTTGCGTTTGCCTCCATGGGTGGCTTACTATCTGGTTTGGATCAGAGCTTGATTAGTGGAGCGAATTTATATATGCTAGCGGATTTACACTTGGATAGTGGCCAAGTTTCGTTGGTAGACTCTTTAATGCCTTTGGGTGCAGTTTTGGGAGCATTAATGTAAGTTAACATAACTTGGGAGTTTAGTATATTTGGTTTTAACTAGTATTATTTAGCTTATCACCTACCAACGAAGCATTGGGTAGAAAGTTGTCTATTATCGTTGCGTGTTTACTCTACACATTAGGTGCTGGTTTAGAAGCTGGAGCTCATTCAGTTGGTATGATGTACGCTGGACGTTTTATTTTGGGGATGGGTTTAGGCTTGGAAGGAGGAACTGTGCCTGTTTATGTTGCAGAATGTGTGGCAAAGAAGTTCCGGGGCAATCTTGTCTCTTTGTACCAATTCAATATTGCTCTCGGTGAAGTCTTTGGTTATGTTGTTGCTGCAATATTTGTCAACGTTTCAGGAACTTGGCGTTGGATGTTGGGATCATCTCTTCTCTTTTCCACTGTTCTTCTTGTAGGAATGATTTTCATGCCTGAAAGTCCTCGTTATCTGATGCATAAAGGTCGTGAAGTTGAATCTTATAGCGTCTGGAAGCGTATTCGTGGTGTATCCGATATAGATGCAAGACGCGAGTTTATTGTGATGAGACATTTAGTTGAACAGGAACAAGAGGAGAAGAAACGTCTTCGATATCCCTATTTGGACTTTATTAGGGTTCCAAGGTGCCGTAGAGCTATTGTCTATGCCAATATTATGGTTTTCTTGGGTCAGTTTACAGGCGTTAATGCTATTATGTATTACATGAGTGTGCTGATGAGTGAAGTTGGGTTTTCTTCTAAACAGTCAGTATTTATGAGTTTGGTTGGTGGAGGCTCTCTGTTATTGGGTACCATTCCTGCCATATTATGGATGGACCGTTTCGGTAGACGAGTTGCAGCTATCACTCTTCTTCCAGGGTTCTTTGTAGGATTGCTAATTATCGGCTTTGGCTACTTTATACCGTTATCTAACGTTCATTCTGCAGAGGGAGTATATCTTACAGGACTAATAATTTATATGTGGTTCTTTGGTTCTTATGCTTGTCTGACGTGGGTTCTTCCATCTGAAGTTTATCCAACCTATTTGCGTAGTTACGGGATGACGAGTTCCGATGCTACCCTATTTCTCTCTGCTTTCATAGTTACGTACAACTTTTCACGTATGCAAAACGCTATGACAAAGACTGGTTTGGCTGTTGGTTTCTATGGTGGCATTGCTGTATTTGGTTGGATATATCAAGTGCTTTATATGCCAGAGACCAAAAACAAGACACTCGAAGAAATTGACTTGGTGTTTTCCAAACCCACGAAAGAGTTGGTCAGAGAAAATTGGCAATCTACGAAGGAAACGGTATCAGATTTGTTCCACTTGCGTTGGAAACGGGCCTTTGGGCTTCAAGGGGAGTACTAGTTTGATTGCTTGCGTTGTAGGACTCTGTTTGTTGCAGTTGGAAGCCGTTAACTTTGCTATACAGACAAAAACTTTGTCTGAGCGAATTTACTTTCTCCTACTGTGATCAAATAAAAGTTATGCTTTTCACGTATCATTATAAGATGAAAGTCTATCTATCGATGCAAAGTCTTTTGAGGAAAACAATTCCACTCCGACCGAAGCAATTCAACACTCCATGAAAGCTGATTGGTTGGCCATCGATGTTCTTTTAATCAACATCTTTTAATCGTGCTTCCTTCTTATTTTGTATATTGTGGATTTTTAGCTTCCATGGGTTCAGTTGGTGATTCATCTACTTTCTTATTTACCTCAGAGTCAGTTAATGAAGGTCATCCGGATAAGATATGTGACCAAGTAAGTTTTTATGTATTCAGTTAGCAGACTTGTTTCATTGCTTTTTTGTTTCACAAAGGTTTCCGATGCCGTCCTAGACGCTTGCCTTGAAAGGGACCCTCTCGCAAAGGTAGCTTGTGAGACAGCTACAAAGACTGGCATGGTTATGGTTTTTGGTGAAATAACTGTAAAGGGTGCTACTATTGATTATGAGAAGGTTGTGAGAGATACCATAAAGGAGATTGGTTTCGATGATGAGAAGAAGGGCTTGGACTATAAGACTTGTCGAGTGTTGGTTGAGTTACATCAACAGTCACCAGATATTGCACAAGGAGTTCATGAGAACCGTGCAGCTGATGACGTTGCTGCTGGTGACCAAGGAATTATGTTTGGTTATGCCACGGATGAGTCTCCAGACTATATGCCGTTGACACATAGTTTTGCTACTCGTCTTGGGAAACGTCTGACTGAAGTACGTAAGAAAGGTATTTGTCCTTGGGTTCGTCCAGATGGCAAGACCCAAGTTACTATGGAATATCGAAAGGAGAATGGTCATTTGGTGCCTTTAAGAGTTCATACTGTCGTCATATCTACGCAACACGATGATAACGTATCGAATGAGAAGATTCGTGCAGATTTGCTGGAAAAAGTTATCAAGGAAGTCATTCCCAGTAAATATTTAGACGATAAGACTGTTTATCATTTGAACCCAAGCGGGCGTTTTGTGATTGGAGGACCGGAAGGTGATGCAGGTTTGACAGGGCGAAAGATTATTATTGATACTTACGGTGGTTGGGGTGCTCATGGTGGTGGCGCTTTTTCTGGAAAAGATCCTACAAAGGTCGACCGCTCAGCCGCTTATGCTGCGAGATGGGTTGCCAAGTCTATTGTTGCTGCAGGACTTGCACGTCGTTGTTTGGTTCAGCTATCTTATTCTATTGGAATCGCCTCACCACTCTCCGTCTTTGTGGATACTTATGGAACGGGAACCAAGCCAGATCAAGAAATCTTGGAAATAGTCAAGAAGAACTTTGGTAAGTTTTGCGTTTTACTTTAAGATTGATCATAATCATGTTTTGTACCATAAGATCTTCGTCCTGGTCGTATCATAAAAGATTTGAATTTGTTAAGGCCTATCTATAAGCAGACTGCAGCTTATGGCCACTTTGGCAGAGATCCCAAAGTAGAATCGACGTTTACTTGGGAAATACCTAAGAAACTGGAATTTTGAATATCCAATAAAGTTATAAAGAATATTGTGCAAAAATGTTAGTCACATTGTCTGTTATATTTACAAATAACATTTTGTTCTCAAAAAGAATCCACGACGCATTGGTATCAGAACAACTTGTTCTTTCGTCATTTGTTAGTTATTTGTACCTTTTTGAAGTTTTGGAGTAAGAGCTTTTACGATGCTCTTGAAACAAGGCTTTCTCTTCCAAGTCATCGAATACATATTCATTGTGATGGGATCGTTTTCCGTGACCTATTAGGAAAGATGATTAATATTATCAATTCACATTAGTTTCATTATCAACCGAATAAACAACACATACTTTGAAGCGATTCGTCCTCGTCTAAACGAATACAATGGCCTTGACGAACACGATTCCACAACTTGGCAACACTTTGTGAAAAATCTACCTGAACAACAATCAACAAATTTTAGCAAAAAAATAGTTAAACCAGTATATTCCTACTCTTATCCTTCGATCATCAATCAAACAATTGTTCATTTTAAAAAATGCCTGTTCACAAGCTTTACGGTCAGGAAACTCTATAAATCCATAACATAGGGACTCGCCAGTAACTTTGTCTTTAATTATCTCAGCCTTACAACCAATTTCACTACTTTCTACACATAGTCTACCAATTCATAACAAACCTTGCATTCACCAAACCGAGAAAAAATAAGTTCCAAATCTTCGGAACGAGTCACAGGATTCAACTTGCAAACAAATAATGTCTACATAGAATAAAAGTCATTAGACTGGTCCATCTTGCACAATTTTCTCTCTTACATTATCCGGTGGTTTAACTTCTGCATCAGGAATATCTCCAATGATCTCTAAAACCTCTGCACGAGAATGTGCCTCTTTTCTACGTCTCAACTTTTCTCTCTCTTCACTATCCATTCCTTCCTCTTCTTGCCAGATTTCATCATCATCTGAAGATTTACTTTCGAATTACTATCACTTTTCTTCTTCTATAGAAACTTACCTAGTCGTACTTCAGAGGACACGACATTTTGGTTTCCATCTCGTTCAGGAGAAGAAGGTATGGGTGGCATACCTGGTGGATCAGGAAAAGGGTCGTCCAATATAATCGTATGATAGATGCGACTAACTTGAAAAGGTTTCTTCTTTTCGTCAACAAGGACCGATTCTATTGCTTCAACTGTTTCCCAACCCTATAGAAAATAATATAAACAACTTGAATACGCAAATGAATAGGAATAAATACCTCTTCTACTTGACCAAAAATGGTATATTTGTCATCCAAGTAGTCCAACTGATCACTAAGAGTAATAAAAAACTGACTGCCATTAGTATTTGGCTGACCGGCATTAGCCATAGAAACTCGTCCTTTGCGATTATGTCTATCAGTGAAAAACTCGTGTTTTAGCACTTTTAAAATCTTACATAAATAATAAAGTACCGAAGCTTGGGAGTGAACTCGTCTTCAAAGTATCGTGCTTGTTCTCCAAAACAAATTCCATATATGCTTTCACCTCCTTTACCTGTATTTGTCGGGTCACCTGTTTGTATAACAAAACCCTAAATTCAAAAGGATCAACCATAAAACTTCTAAAAAGACAGTTTCAACTACAAGCTCACCTTGTCAACATAATGAAAAGTACAGAGGTGATAATATTTGATCTTGCAAAGTTTGAGAAAATTTTTACAAGTTAAAGGTGCAAGGTCTGTGAAAAGGTCAACAACAATATCTCCTCTTGAAGTCTGCAACAAAACACTCATGCTTTGGCGAATGCTAAGTATTTCACAACTTTTAGAAACCACCTTTCGTAATCTACTGTATACAGTTGTAACTCAACAGAAAAATGACAAGGCTATAGTGAAGGTGGATTGTCGAACACTCTCTTCTTTCACAGTAGCTATGGTTTCTTGTATACTTGGTGTTATAGTGACAAAAGATTTCCAGTCAGTTGTTTGAAAAAAATTGGAAACTGTTAGGAAGTTACCAAAATGATTAGCTCTTAGCAGTTGAAGATTCTGAATTTAATCAATTTATTATGATTCCAAGGCATAATTCCCTTTTTTATTGTTGCCAACATTATGTCAAAGAACCAAGACGCTCCTTATCGACCTGTGACTTTAACCTCACGAAATCTCAAGGTCTTTGATTTTCTTTCGTTTTTTCTCTTTTATATTGGTACAGTGCTATCTTGTAATCATAGGAAGACAATAACTTTTACCTCAACTTTTGTCCATCAGAGATTGAAAGATGAAGGTACTTTTCCATTCTTTGAAGTTGAAGAGAGTCACCAGCAACGTACGCAGGTTCATACCATATGAGCAAATACCAGTCAAATCTAGCCAAACCATTGTAATTTCATAGCATTCGTACACAACGCACTTGCAGAATTCCAAACAGGAAAGGGTTTGTATGTTTTTGCCATTGTTAGATATGACTCGTAGTCATCTGAAGCGGTCTTCTATAAAATGCAAGAAAGTTACAGCTGCCCGAGAAACTCTTAACAAAGAAGTCGCAAGCAGAACCATATAATTCTTGGTCTGTGGTTGTCCATTTTCTAAACCGTTTGTTTAGCTAATTATAGGCATATTTTATTGCACACTTGGCAAAAGTTTAGATTGACGCTATCAGTTATATGACACTTGATTTAAGATTGAGGACGGTCTTCCTCTCGTTCGAGTTCTATAAACTCAACCAGTGAATCTTCAACCCAAAAATCAAACCTCACAGGTGTTGAGATGCCTCCCTTTAACTTGATAGAATGTGTTCAATTCATAAAAGAGGAATTCCCTTGCTTTTGTACAGCTAATAAAGAGAACCTCACAAGTTGAGACAAAGTTAATATCTGTTGGCAGTCTTGCTCTTCGCAATTTTTAGACCTATACAACTGAATTCAACGTTACAAAGCCTATTCCAATCAAACTAACTATGTTCCACATAAAGTACTGTTAACACTAAATGATGAAAATTAGCCATATCAAAGCAATGTGACTATGAAGTTTGTTCAATCGGATTTCACTTAACTTTTGCAACTATTCAAAGTTGAGACAGCTGGTGGTCGATTCCAATGCATAAGTTTTGAATAAAATTGTCAACCTCTATGTAATCTTACAAGAGGGTTTATAACATACAGTAAATTATGTCGCCATATAGAGCTTTGAGATAGACTGCTTGAAGACAGAGCTGAAGTTTTAACAAAAATTGAAAACTTTTAAAGTGACTGGTTCTATTGTCATTCATTGGGTAATAAGTTGGAATAAGAGTCTAGCACTTGGCATATCATCTCCTCAAATACTTGCATTCCATAGGAAAACACGGCACAAGCGAATATATATATTTCAATACAAATTCTTCATAACCAAATAAGAACCATTGAAGAAATCATTTTGGCTAGTGATAATTCTTCCTGGTAAAGCTCTCTCAGTTTCTTTGTCAAAGAATAGATTTTTTCACAAGTGATTTTGCATTGCTTCCAGTTTTAAGCCATTTTATCGAGTCTATTTCTTTCGAGTAGCAGTTTGTAGAGTTGTTTGGAAGACAAGTAATCCCTTTCTCTTTCTTGCACAAAATATTCTCAAATGGAACTTTCATCTGTTATGAGTATATTCGAGTGACCTGCAGCATAACTCCATTTATTCATGAGACAAGACCATTCAAAAAGAGGCCGTGAATTCTTTTAGTCCTCGCAGAAGCTTTAACGATACTTTGTCATATAAGCACACTGATGTTGTTCCTTTCCCAAAAGTTTCTTTTGAATGTTCGTCGTCATAAGAAAATCGTTCTGCACTTAATAAAGGAATGACTTGAACTCTTTGCAATAAGATATAAAAGCTTGTCAGTTGTGGTTCAACAATGCCCATTTAAGGAAAAGTTCCTGGTTAGTATTCTAAAATAACGATCAGTGTCAATTTCATATCAATCCAACTAGTTTCCGATAGTGAGAGCTTCCTCCAAACTTTATTTATTCTTTCCATGGCTTTAAGAAAAAAAATGCGGTTAATGGATCCGTTCATATTCTAAAGTTAGTAAGAAAACTCTTCAGTAATGCCACTAAGCAGTTTGGCTNTTNCGGTGGGATCATTGATACCCATGCGAAGTAATGAATCTTCATTAAGTCTGGAAAGCGAAACTCTGCCAAACCTTGAAAGTTTCCTAAAACAATAGGCAACATCCTCTTCAGAAAGACCACAACGGTCTCTTNGGAAAGTATTCCAATCAAATGACGAAGACAAAGAACTGGATGCTGCAACCCTTTGTTCGCTTCGTGCATCTCCTCTTTCCACTTGCATAGCACTTTGAAGCTCTTCCACTTGCATCCTATTCTCCTCATTGGTTCTCGGTCTTNTATTTCGAGCCACTCTTGAAATAACATTTGATTGCTCCAAAGGCGAAAGATATTCATTGGACATCGACTCAAAAACAGTTTCACACCATACTGAAAAGTTTTTAGAAAACTCTCCTCGGTTTGCTTTCCCAATTTTCCTCNATGTTTCGACATTATCTCTTCCCAAATATATTTCAAGGTTCCTTTGAGAAACAATTNCCAATTGCAGACATGATCGACTACTTTCATTCNAAGTTGATCCCGAAGAATGTTGAGTCNCAAAACGACTTGCATCTTCGACAATATTATGTTCTTCGGTAGAGAAACCTNCAGATTGATCATATCTAGTACATACTNCCACAAACTGAAAACGAAGTTGAACAGATGAAAAAGATTCGTCATTCNAAACGGAAACAACTCCCTTAAAAAATTTTTTTGCTTCTTCCTTAATATTTGTTTTCGAAAATTCAGTTTTGTGATAAAATTTGAATGAAAATCCAACAACATAACGTGTTTGTCCATTATGGAATACAACATATGCATCAGGACCACTCGAATTGCCCTCTTTTGGAACAAAAATACCACAATGTTGTAAATATTTTCTATAATGGTCAGAAAATGAACGAGAGACATTTCTCNAGATGGGTATATCATTAGATTTTGTTGATTCTNTAGAATACGAAACATTGTCCTGTTCAATAAAAGAACCCTGGAAAATTCCTGGAATAGCAGAATGTACAATCTGCGAGGAATTAGAATGAAGAAAAGTTNATAAGCGAAAGCGAAAGATCTTCNTAAATACAAATTCAAAGAAGACTCCTTTTGCTGTTGAAGTGTCGGGAATATAACTAAACGGAGATAAAGGAAAAAGTTCAGTAGCCTCACGGAAAAATTTATAGTTGCTATGAGCTCGCAATATAAATTCACAACAACCAATCTTGAATTCTTCGCCCAAAACTTCAGAGTAAAACCCAAAAGTGACAACCAAATCCATCNAATAAGTGTC